AATTAAGCTACCCAAAGAAAAATAGAACAAAACATGGGGGAAAAAAGGGAGAAAAACTGTATCACTTGATCTCCTGTATTATGTAGTAAAATTGAAAATCAACCAGTTCAATATCTAAGTTTAATAAGCCAGTAAATCTCCTGCTAACTGTACTTTAAGATATCTAATACAGAGTTTAAACAACTTACACAAGCTAACTTTATTTTGCTAAGCCTCGATTTTCTCATCTGTAAAATGATGAGTTTAAAATAGGTGTTTCAAAGCTCTACTAATTCCTTTTTGGTTAATGTTTTAAGGACAATTAGTAATTGCTTGACTATGAGCTTTCTAAAATTCATTACAATTGGGCTGTCTGTCTGAACACTTCCCTTATCCCCAGGGCCCTTTGCTCCTAAAAAACTACTAATTCCCTCTTCAGTCCATAATGATCCTATCTGTGCCTCTACAGGTATTAGATTCTTTGTAGTGTCTAGTTTTGGCCAGTCTAACATTATGTTGCTTGAGGCACTACAGCAGCTCCTAAAGGACTCACTTTATTAATTATTCGTCAGGTTCTCTCATGGGGTTCTGCCAGCACTAAACATTCAGAAGAATTTCAGGGGTTTGTTGATAAAGCTAACATTTCATAATTTACAGAGTAGAACAAAATTTGAAGCTTGACAAATCCAAGTACTGGGTAAGTACATCCAGACGTGAGAATTAAGAAATACTCTAGTGAGAATATAGACTGATATGACCAATTTGGAAACTCATTTGGCAATATACAGTGAAAAAATGTGTTCACGCTCTACAGATCAGTAATTCTACTTTTTGGTGTAAACTTCATAAAAAGTCACATTTTAACAAGGAGGTTATTATTTGTTATAAAGGAAGAAAGCCCATAAATAGCCTAAATGTTCAATAGAATATAGCTAGACAAATGAACTTTGGTCTAGGTAATCATAGTAAAAGTATAAAATTCTAAATACAATCATACATACACATCTATGATACTGGTAGCCTCTGAGAAGAAAAAGAAGGAAATCAAAAGAAACTTCAGCTTTTACTGTTAGACTATATTTTTAAAAAATCTGAAGCAACTGCGATCAAATATCCAACTTGTTCCTGTTGGTATATGGGCATTTTGTTATATTCTCTAAAATTTAAAATAGAAAAAAATGGTTTATTTTCATTATTCTTTTACCCACAACTTGTCTCTAAGTCAAATTCCTTTGATTCAGTTTTTATTAACAGTCAATGATAACTATGCATGCAAGTAAATAAAAATTTACTTACATGGAAAGTGAAAGATACATTATTATACCCAGACATACCGTAATCCCAGCATACTGGGAGGCTGAAGTGGAAGGACTGCAAGCTCAAGGCCTGTGGGCCAGTGGAGCTAAACCACGTCTCCAAATTTTAAAGGTGGGGGGAACTAGGTATATAGTTTACTAACAGAGCAACATGGGTTTGATCCCAGTCACAAATCAATTAAAAATATCTAAATATCTATCTATCTATCTATCTATCTATCTATCTATCTATCTATCCCTTTCAACTCCCCTCAGTTCCCCCCGCTGTTTCAGAGTACTAAAGATCTATCAAGCTTTCTTTTAGATTCTTTGTATTTACACAGACGCATGCACACATTTGTTCAGCTCAATGGCTTGATATCCTTGTTTTCAGTACCAATGAGAGCACTCACTACATAAAGGTAAAGATGCTTTTGTACTTAACATGACTGGGAGACTTTCGCACAAAACATTTTTTTACTGAATATGCCACAGGATTTTGAATATTTTTAATATCATTTAATTTTTTAAAACATATAGGATATCCTGTATCATAATTTGAATATTTAACACTTAATTTATATATAATTTTACACTTAATTTATATATAATTTTACCTATTTAAATAGCAGAATAATAAAGAGATCTCTGTAGAACAGATTCTAAAAGTTGAGTTTTAGATGGAAGAGTGCTGTGAACATGTTGACAGCTACTTTCCATTAGGAGTTCCCAGTTAATGAGCATGGTAGCATTCTAGATTTTTACCAATCCAATCAGGGATGGAGGCGATGAGCTCACTGCAAGTAGAGAGAGGTAGGAAGGAGGCACAGGTTGTCAGGAGAGAATGTCCCATGCAACAACATGAACAGGTGCCATTTCCAGAGCACTGCATACAAGAGAGAGGGCTCTGATTCCAGAGGGAAGGAATGTCCCATGTGGTGGTAGGTGACACTTAGTACTACAGTTTAAATGCCACAGCAAACAGCTTTCACTTTGTGCAGGATATGATGGTAAGCAGTGGAGGGTTTCATTAAGGAAAATCATCTTCATCTGTCCACAGGAGGACAGGACAGGAACACACCCAGTAGGAGCCAATGGAACTGGCCTGCAGGGAAGAGGCTAGAGCTCAAGCACAGCAATAATGGCAGGATAGAGTTGTGCTAAGGGACATGGAGAAAGGGTCAAGAAGTGTACAGTGAGAGACATCAGTAGGATTTCTCAGGCGAGACACTGACTAGACATGTGAGCTTACAACCAAGGATGAAGGGTGGTTTACGTAAGATGGGCAATACCAGAGGAGGATTTGGAAATAACATGATGAATTTAGCTCTGGCCTTGTTAATGAAAAGGTATGCATACAAAATTCAGACACATTACAACATCCCAGAATCTCCCAGGGTTGGAGATAAACAGTGCTAATCAACCATATATAGATGGTATTCAGAAGGTCACAGCTGTGGAGTAATAGAAGAGTGTATTACTCACTTGAGTGTATTACATTCCAAACATCAGAAAGCTATATGAGAGAATATTCCTGAGACCAAAAAGAGGAGGAAAAATCCCACAAAGTTTCCATAGTAATGTTATAAGGTGTGTTCTAATAGAAGCATACGATTACTTTAGAAGGCAGAATAAATCTCTGTATTCATAGATAGAAAAACCTATAAAAAGGAAGTTATCTAGAGGATCTTTCAAGCAAAAATTTAATTTAATTTCAAGCAAAAATTTTAATTTAATTAAACAATTAAACTTCATTTAATATCCAGAATCCACACACAGAAAAAAAGTATACGCACTTCAGGAAAAACTTGTATAAATATTTTAATATTTTTATCAATGGGGACCTTAAAGAATGTCATACATACATCACAGTAAACCCAGCACACTGCTGGCCCTTAAAGAAGAAATTGAAAATGCATGTAGAGCAATCTCACTGAGGCTTGACCAAGGTTAGCCAAGGAGCAGTTCACCATACTAATAAATGTCTGGACTCCAATGGCCACTACTATGAGCACCTCTCATAATTGTAGACGCCAAAGGTAACTTGTATTAATCTCATGAAGTCTCAGTAAATTTAGTATTAAAACATTTATACAAGTTTTTCTTTTCCTAAAGTATGTATACATATTTGGTGGACTCTATAGTTTTCCCTTTAAAAGTAGTACAAGACAATTCCCAGTACCAAAAAAAAAGTAATATAAAAATATTACTAAATATTTGCCAGTTTAAAAAACAAAAGAAAAATCACTTGAAATTCAAATTCCTTGACATACTTTGGGCATACTGTAAATTTTCTTCTAGCCTTTTGTGGTTTCCCCTACTTTAAAGTTATAATTTACCTAAATACATAATATTTAGGTAATATTTAATTTCATATATACTCTTTTCTACTCTACTGCAAAAGCACCATAAATATATCGAATGGTTAAATATTTTATCAATTTGTTTCAAATCAGTGGCCTTCAGCTTAGCTGTACATTAGAATTTTAGGGGAACTTTAAAAACAATGAAAATAAAAATCTCTGGGTGGCGTCCAAGGTTTAACACTTCTTTAAATTTTTCTAAGTAATTCTAATGTGTAGCCAAGTCTAAGAACCATAAGCATCACCAATAAAAATTTAAATCATGTTCTCTACAACTGAAATAGCACTGATGTTATTCTCACTGAACATGGTATATTTTTCTTATAATCAGGAAGAATTTCTTAAAATAGTTTTACAGAAAGGGCATTATCAATGCATGAGATAGAGTTTATTTAATGACCTTTTGTGAACAATGCCAACTGGTGTTTAAATGAGTTGTCTTAGTTTATACCTTCACAATATTAAATGAGTTGTTTTAGTTTATACTCTCACAGTATTCGGAGACCAGACAAAGTACATGGATTGATTAATTTAGTAGCTAAACTAAAAAACAATCATTAAGCATTGCTTTAATTTGCATTATTATGATTACTGGTAATACTGCTTATGCACAAACTAGTTTGTTAGTTTTCTGCACTGGAATATCCTTGTTCATGTCCTCACACCATGATGCTTTAAATCACTATCTTTTTTCTTACTGTTTTAGTAAGTTCTTTAGATAATACTTCTAGCATTTTCACTAGAAATATTTTCTTCATGGGTTGTGATTTAATGTTTTATTTTTTTATGTTGGCATATCATAAGCTTCAATTTCCATATTTCTTTCATGCTTTTTTGATAACATCTAAATATAAAAAGCCATTTCCCTATCAAAAAGGGACTTAAATGTTACATCTGATTTTTTCTAGTGTTCCCCAATAGTATAAACTTTTAATATTTAAGTTTTCTATCATGTGTATATCTTCCTCAACATAAAACACAACTAGCACGGTACATGTTCAATAAAAATTTATCATCTGTATTGGCTTTCTATGGGTCAGAAAGAAAAGGGTGGTATTCCCTTGCCTATTACTTTATTTCTGATTCATCAGCTTACTCCTCTGTAAAAATCTGATACCACTCAAGTAAAATTCCTTGATCAGCAGAATGTCAAATGAATTCAGCTCAGAATTTTGCTGGGCATGGGAAAATTTTTACCTTTAAATATTTGATAAAGGAAATGCCTAAAAATAACTATACCAACCACCACTGTTAAAGATGGCATTCATACCACAAGACAAATGCCAATTTAATTTAGCCTTCCTCTCTCCCCTTCCCTTCCCTTTCTTTCCATCCTTCTCTGATTACTATGTCCTGCATGTACTTTCTGCAATAATGTGTGCTACTCTTGTTAGCAATGTAAATGGATAAAACTATTTAATAAACACAACTTTATACAAAAAACTAGATTTATACTATAAAGTGCACTTTGTGAAATTCAGTTATTTAGGACAGTGTCAAAGTATATTTGCAAATTTCAGACAAAATTATTAAGTAAAATAAATTTTATTCTACAAAAGGCCTAATTTCAAGGTTAGACCTCTTACACAATACACTTTGGAAAAGAAGTATAAATACAAGGACAACTGAATTTAAACATCCTTCTCTTCTACAAACTTAGCATGTAGCACTTAAAAATATTGCATCTTAAGAATAGCCAGGAACTCTACAAGAAATGTAATACACCTAGTTCTTGTTTTAATTTCACCCTCAGGGAAATGAGATAAATTGGAAGCAACGACTGCAAAAATGTTCATGTTTGCTACAGGCCGACAGCAAACAAACAACAATAAAAATGGTAAAGCAATGGATACAGTCAATGTAAAGATGTAAAGAAAATAAATAATGTTTTAAGCTATCAATTCTGAAACTGTAAAATTACATATTTGCATAATAAATTCCATTCTAAAAGTAATGCTACTAATGGGTAATATTTGTATTACTTTTGTTTCATAGTAATAAATATCTTAGTTAGGGAAAGTGCACATTTTGATGGCCCATGAGAAATGTATATTCAGACAAAAAAGATTACTTGTACATTATTTGACAGAATTATCAATGTTCTAACCAGGTACAATATAGAGAAACTCCCCAGAGAAGAAGTCCAGTAATGAAAAGGTAGAAAAAATATGCAAATAAAATTGGGTAGAAAGGAAGAGAATTGGTAGGCTAATAGTTTGACAACAATTATTTTAAACCTGTAGCCTTATTTAAACAACTAACCAAAGGACAACTGATTAAACAATCGTTAAAATTATGAAAAAATGTTCAACAATAGGAGAAATGTTTTTGTCTTCCTTCTTTTTTTCTAATTTACCTAAAAACAAAACGAGCTCTCATGGCTTCTGGCCTTTTGTCAAACATCTTAGTTAAGTAAACATAACTCCAACCCACTCATTTAACTTGAATTAATACTCTGGAGGTTTTATATTGCCACTTACTTAAAGCTTTCAGGAAACAGTTCCTTGATGCCACCAAATTGAAAATGAAATCAATATTTCATTTAAGCTAAGTCAGGAGATCTTCAAATGCTGAATTCAACTATGCATGCTATGAGCTACGAACATAGCACCAACATTGAACACTATTACTGTTAATGACCTTTACCTCTTTTGTTGAGGGAGGTAGAGGTTATGTGCTAATGTACCAGTAACATAATTATAACAGCATATGATTCTAGGATCACAATGGCAACTTCAGTATATAAGACCTTCCTATCGCCAAATGTCAGTTTATAAGCACAGAACCAACATTCTATCTATCATCTATGCCTGAGACAAATCTTTTGTGATAGTGAGAGATAGTTACCAATCAATATAAAGAGGAAAACTACCACTATAGATCTAACCTTCAATCAGAGATGAAAACAATGATTTACTGGAATCCAAACAAATTACTCTTTAAGGGGAACATGAAAGTTCACACCTTCTGTCACATGCACCATGTTCATATGTGGAAGTCCTGGTAGTAGGGGTTCCACATAGAGAAATTCTGCAGACATTAAAAAAAAAAACTTTTATAAACAATAAACACCTTGTATTTGCATTCAAATGTTGTCTTTGTTAGAATAATTATGATCTGGCTGTTTCTATGCTCTGATCCTTATGGAAATTTGCTAGGATCCAATACTGAGTATCACTGCTTCATTTTCATGGCAAAGAGTCAACAAATCAGGACAAAATATAAAATCCAGACTCTAAACCTGTGTGCCTCTTAAATGGTAAACGTTTGCTAACCTTAAAACTATCCCTTTTGTCACTGGCTTGTTAAACTGAGTTTTAAGGAAAGTGGAAGTTTTCAGAATAAACAGTAAGCTAATAAATTCCTGCGTCTGCCATTTCCTCCTTGGCTTGTTCATTCCTCCTAATAGGACTATTTTTCTTTCTTTTCCTCCTTTTTTTGTTGTTGCTGTTTCCTCTGGGGACCTCTACTTCAAGTCTGACATTTGCCTGTGGCCCACTGTGATAGAAATTCGGAGCTTTGGAATCAGCCTGTCTAGGCTCAAATGTCAGATCCTCCACTTATAACTGTGTACAGTTAGGGTCATACCCAACTTCTCTCAGTATCAATTTCCTTGTCTGTAAAATGAAGAAGCAGTACCCATTTCTCACTATCACTGGGAGGATTAAATGAGCTAACAAACAGAAAATTCTGGGCTCGGCGTCTAACGCTGATCACTCACTGCATAAATCTTAGTTTCCTGCCCTTTTGGCAAAATGACATTCAACAGACAGATCTAATGATATTTACAGACGCACGCATCTGTGTTGCATCTCATTTCTTTATATTCTACTCTTAGTCTTAATAAGCTTCCTCTACGTTCAAGACTAGAAAAGCTTTTTATTACACGACAAGAAAATAACTAAAATCATAAAATAACCAAGAAGACACACCAAAATTCTAAGGAACATGCCCCAAATGGAAGCAATTCTAGCATATTCCTTATAAAAAGAATGCTTGAGCAGTTTCAGGAAAAGAGGCAGTATTTATGCTGCAAAATTCCTTAAAAGTACAACTCAATTTGATTCTCAGTAGAAGAGTCAGAATAATGAAGTGCTTTCAGTGAAGATAAAGCAAAACACTCACCAGGAAAAATCAGCCATCAGCCTCAAAAATATTTATTAATGCAGTTGGCCTACTCTGCTCAAAAGAGCCCCAAGCAAAAGGGTGAATAAGGAGACTGAAATTTCAGCAAGAACACATGGAGATGCAGTCAATGTGCACAGGAAAGAAGGCTCTGGAGATATAGCAGAAAGGAAAATAAAATATGTCCCTCTAATATTATAATTTTTATGACTAGAGAATTTTGTGTTTAAAGCATGGCCGTAGTTTACACAAACTGGAATTCAAACTGAAATTAGAAAGCACACCAGAGCCTCCCGCGTTTGCACCTTCCAACAAGTCACGCTTGCTCAGTTTCCGTGCTAGCCTGCCCCGTCACGCTTACGAAACGGAAATAACATGTGTGAGCACCTATCTGGAAATCACTCTCATAACCTTTGACGCAGTCATTCAGATCGCACTGCCTGCCCTGCAAGTGTCCAGTTGCCCTCTCATGTTCACAAAACATGAACCGGGGAGTAAGTGACCGCTGTGGGGTTCCATATGGGAAGACCCTCAATGTCCATTTCACCCACATCACTAGCTGGTACCTACCCGGAAGGAATGAACGGAACCACTCCAATGCAATCCCAGCCACTCCTGCTAGTTCAAGCATTCGGTTCAGCATCACCTCATGACCAACACGAAAGCAGCTGAGGCTCTAATATAATCATCATGGAAAGTTGTCCCAAATCCTTCATTCGAGGAAGAGCCTTCATACACACCAACGCTGTCTCCAAGCCATGCCGGGGTCTGAAACCAGACTGGAAAATATTATATATGTGTATATATGGTAAAACTCCCAAAATCCACTCTTCTACTTTATCATATTTATTTACAGCTGCTATACCCATCCTCTACATATCGCCTTCTCAAGGTGAAAATACGAACATTCAAGGAAAGATCCTTTTTTATAGTAGGATGTAAATTTAAAGCATATGAAGGCCTGATGCTGCCTGGTAAGGTAGTTGAGGTGGTCCCAAATGGCACATACTTCGTCCTGAAGGGGAGAGAGAAAACACCATGTTGCTTTCGAAGGCTAATCCTCTAAACTTGGCGGACAGGTTCAAACTTTCCTGACACTAGCTTTTGTAAAAAAAGACTTCGCTTTTTTTAGGAGGTAGAATAACAATGGCAGATGAACCCTTGAAGCTCTGTTTCACGTTACCACATGTGCCTCGACTCCTCCTGAATCCCCGTGCGGGCATGGCTTCGTACTTCGTGCTGCCATCATCATAATTGCACTATCCGAATCCCTACTGATTACAGAGCTCTCAACTGACTGCCCTTGCCCATCTGGGAGACAGGGATAGGAACCAGGAGGGACAACAACTTTGAATGGTAGGAAAAATATGAAATGATCAATGGAGCTTCAAGAGCCACTGTAATAAAAAAAAGTATTTCAAACCAGCTTTTAATGAATCAATTTTCTCTCCTCCCTCCTTACTGCATAGGCTTTTTAGAAACAGAATGATAAACATATTATTCAAAGTTTAACTGGAAAATTTAACTATTTTTATAATCTTGGGTCCTTTAATATAGGACTGAACACTATTTCTTTCTTGCCTTTCCCTCTCACCTTAATTAATGCAACACTGACAACTACAAATGTCAGCCTCAACACAAAATTTTACCAAATGTCTGTTTCCAGGATTTGTTTAAAATGCAATTAAAAGAGTTCAATCACTACAGCATTATTTACCCTTAATTATTTTTGCACCAAGCAAACATCTATCTATAAAACTGCTCATTCTATATAATTCCATTTAAAATAATAGAATTCTGTCTTCTCATCCCCATTTCACTGGGTATATTGGCTAGATCCATTCCATCCTTGTCCCTTATATTCAGTTTATATTAAATGTAAGGGCCTGGAAATGTACACCTGCTTATTGCCTTGCTCGCCCACCGGATACATACTTTTCTCCCAACTCAATTATTCTGTTGATGGTAAATATCCAGAAATCTTTTCGACAGGTTTGGACCTCAGATTTATACCAAACATAGCACTCACTATATTTTTCTGGACAGCCTTCACTAACTTCACCTCATCTTACAGAAAGTGACATGTCTCTCAGTAAGGATCACTCAAAGAATGAAAGACTCACCTAGGCCAAAAAAAACCACAAAAAACCCTTAAAAATGTTATTTTAAAATGAATATGAATATAAAAATTGAAGGGATAGTCTTTGTTTGCTTAGTTCCTATGGACATACTTATTGGTCCTTAGCAATATATACCGCTTTACTGTATGAAATTGTAAGTTCTCGTGTTTGACATAATCGTCCTTGTTACATAACCTGAGATTCTGAACATAGAACAGTAGTCGTATCAGTTTTCTCAAACCATCCCTTATGCAGATATCAGTTAAAGATACCCATTAGTAATATATGTTCATTCAAATAAACCTCTACTATGATGCCCATTTCGATCTAGGAACTGTGGAGGTTACACAACATGAGCAAGGTACTGTGTATCACTAGCTTTCTACGAATTCATACTTTAGTTGAGAGAAAGGCATGTAAACAAGGCAACTGTCACAATGATACAGTAAAAATTTTCCATGAAAAATAAAAGAAGGCATGATATTTCTTCCTGGGTATTGTAGGGAAAGTCTCTCAAGGGAAGTGACAATCTAGTTTTAAATGACAAACAAGTATTAGGGTGAGAGTTATGGGAATAACAACAATAACTGAGACATTATTTTCTGTGTGATTTACAAGAATCTTGAAAATCAGTTCACTACTCAAAACTAAAATATATTCTGTTGTATGTTTAGTTTAACAAAAAGCAAAACTGTTTCAGTATAATGGAAAATTCCTAACATACTGAGTGTTTAATAAATACTAAACTGTGAGAATCTCAATGACAGTACAAAAATAACAGAGATTTCTCAAGGAATTACTTATTTCCTACATATGTAAATGTAGACCCCCTCAGAGACAACAAAGAGGTTTGTTCACTGAAATTATTCTCCAAAACTTCATTTTGTGTACTTAAAGCTTATAGCCAAATTTCAAAGAAAACTTAGATGACAGCATCAACATATAGAATTTTAAAGCACCCTTTACGCCCCCAAAATATGCCAAGTAGATAATTATCATGAGTGCTATGTCAATATATTACATGTTAACACATTAGTTTAGAGGGTAGGGAAGCAAAGAAATTTCTATGTCAAGATAATGCATTCAGAAGACTACAGTGGATAACATGTGGGAGCTAGCTAGAGACATACACTCCCTGAGTTACAAATAAGATCCAAAAAGACACAAAAAAGCATCTCACTTAATAGAGAATAATTTACTTACTGTATACTGTACATCAGGAAAATCCCTGTTCCTACAGTCCAATATTGGGCACTGGCATAAGTCACACTAAAAGCAACACAGGGCCTGTTCCATCAAGTAGCAGTAGTTCTGTATCTTATCATGGCATCTGAATGAAGGGCACTAACTGGAATCCTTTTCTATCTTATGATGAAATTATAATTAAATGGTAGGAGATATTATATATTTTCCACTGAAACATGGAACACTTGGCACCAGTATGCCAAAATACTACTATACATTATCTTATACTACAAATTGGACTCCATTCCATCTTGATTAACTGTCTCCAAATTGCTAACAAAGCAGCCAACAGTGAAATCTCACAAACGAAGTATCTTAAAATTGGCAGCACATTTTCTAACTTTTTCCAAAGTATTTTATCGTTATGACTACATTATAATGCATAAAAAAGTTGGAAGTCCCCTTCCTTCACTGGAAAGACTCCCCTTCAAAAAAGACACAGTGACTTATCCAGGATAATATACTTTGTTACAAGCAGAAATACAGCTAACATTCAAATATCCATTCACTTTGTAAGAAAATATCACGATTCTATTACATAAAGGGCACCATAGAGAAGAGAAAAGTCAGTGAGACATGAATTCCACCATTAAGGAAACTGCATTCAACCTCCAGAACATGTCTTTCAAGGGATTATATGCACTCTTTCTTCCAGCTGCAAGCCTCCTCAGACCACTGGGATGAGACCAACCTCATAGCATCTATAGCAACGAAGCAGCTGCAAGGACCTGGCTGTCTGGATATCCTATTCTGGTATAGCAATGCTGTCTCAAAACTCCTCCAACTACCTCTTCAGGTACTATTGTGAGAAATGAACTTCCATGTGGAAAGTAATCCAAATATTCACTAGCTCTAATATTGTGGACAACTCACTTCTCTTTTCTAAACCTTAGTTACTGATCTGTAAAACTAGAGTCTAAGACTACACACAGTCTACTAAGACCTTACCAGAAACAAAATCTTGTAATTCCAACTTAAACTTTATTCACATCTTAGCTTGCATCCTAATGTAGTAGGGGATGCTTTGAATGATCTGTTTGTAAAGGAAACTTCTGTTTAGGTCGTTTCTTAAAAGCACAGTTTACAGTTGGCATAGTAACTAGAACAGTACTGATCTTTACTAGAAATCAGACCCATCTTCCTCTCTTTACCAAAAATTGTAACTCCCTAGCTCTTAAGAATTACTTAGGTTCCTATTCTCTTATTGCAAACCATACTTTTTGAATAAAGGCTAGAAACTGCTTGGGAAACTAGGTTCTGCAGCTAGAAGTTGGGTAAGGGGAAGACTAAATTTTAAATTTTACATAATTATGTTCTATGAAAATCTGTTCCATGACAATCAAAATGCCTGCTTATATTTCACAATGCCTTATTACTTTCTTTTGAGAAAAGACTGTTACTGTACTTACTATAAACTAACTATAAAACTCTGCAAACAGGGCCAGGGATATAGCTCAGCGGCATAGCACCTGCCTGACAAGCGTGAGGTTGTGAGTTCGCTTGCCAGTACCAAAAAAAAAAAAATAATAAACTACAGTACAAATTTATATTTATCAAAAAAAAAAAAAGGCCAGGTG